GGAGGGGTGTGAGGGTTGATTAGTAATAGAGAAAATTTGCTATGAACTGTTTCGTTCTTGCTCAAAGAATTCATCAAATAGTTTCATTTTACGATGCATATATTTCAAACTGAAATAAGAAAGTAAAGAAACTTGATATATTCATGCGAAATGTAAAAGCGAAGAGCTTTTATTACCAGTGTAAGTCTTGAAATGAGTTACCACAATATGTACGACAGTTCACCAGCGTATCGGACAATTTGTCGTATGAAGTGTTCGTCTTAAAATATCCTGAAGAAGTATTAAATGAGAGTGTCAGTGATGGTACACAAAAGACCGTTACGCACACCAACATCCACATCTATATCACACGTTCACGGCGAATCGTTTTGTGACGAATAGTACGGTCATCTTCTTCTTTAAAGATTCATATGTCTGTATATTAGTTCAGCTGACAAGCTTGGTGTCGGGTCAACGAAGAATAATCATTGTGAAATGTCAATACAGTCGTATATTTATTGTTTGACTGATCTTCTCAGGGGATCCTACTGAATACTCTCAAACAGAACTACTGTCCCACATGCTTGCTTCAAATATAACTTTGAGAGTGTGTGTAGTAGCAGCTAGCTGTGAATCTTCTTCTACTTTTTCCTGCACACGGCACCCATATCCACATGTACATGAATATTCACGCCCATCGATATGAAATGCAATGAAAATCGATCGAAAATTAAACAAGAATTGAGTCATGTGTTCATTTGGAATTGAGTGAAACAAAAGCAATACAACTAGCGTCTGGGCACAGAAATAAGCTTGATCCTTCTTACCATACTAAATTATACTCAATCTTATTTTTTCTGGAGAATTTTAACATGCCTTCTTTCAAATATATGATAGTATGGAAGTTTTTTATTCATTTATTCGAAACAGATCCTTGAGTGTCACTAATTATAAATTGCTGCAAAATTGACTGCAACTATCGCCAAGTCAACAGTAACAATCTTTTTTTCTCGAAAGAATCATGACTAAATCTATCTTACAATATGTTATTGTAATGGAAATGAACACAGAAATGTCATTCACATAGATAAAATGCTACAACCATAAGGCAAACCATTCATCTTTATATTCGATTCCAAATGAATCCGTTGCTGTTAATTGAGTATTATCGATCAACCATTGACGAAGATTTTTAGACGCTTCATCTGATGGAGGAGCTTTAATATCGATAGACGGAAGATATTCTCCGTTCCAATAAGCAAGTAGTGCAAGCACAATTGAATCAATGATCACTTTTGAATCCTTCATAGTAAGAATAAGATGATGAAGTTGGCTAAATACTTTGCAGACACTTTTTAATACATTGAATTCAATATCGATCCAATCGGTAACGTCTAAGCGAGTGATTTGCTGTTTTAATTGTGTACATGAAGGCTCGTCATTAAGTATAACTGTTAGACAAGCATAGTCAATGCTTAAATAGTTGAGTCTGGGTGCAACGCTGATCAAATCATAGAGTTCGCATATTCCAAATACCTCGAGCTTAAGTAGCCGAGGCAATGATAAGATACATGGTGGTGTCATGGTCGTCATGGTACCTAAGCGTGCACAAACAAAAACAAACTATCAATTCACAAATATTTATGATGTTCCGTTGTGTTTGAACTGAGGAACGCACTTCATTTTAGGGAAAAATTCAATACTTGACTAATCATGTAACATAGTCGCGTGTAGACCTTTATTTTACACATAAAATATAGTATCGTACGATTTAGCCGACTGCCCTTAACATAATATTGCAATTTTTGTCTCTGGCAGCATGAAAGCTTTGCATGCAGCTCATCGTACTCCTGTAAAACACGCCAATATCTCAAAAATAGAGTCTAAAGAAGACTTTCATCATTCTTGGTACCTATTGGATCCGGTTCATGTTCTTGGTTAAAGACAAACTGAGACAGTGTTTCGATCTCTTATCGTTTTATGTGATTTTTTTTCCGCATATTTTCATTGTTTGAGACTTATGTATATAGGTTCTACTATATATAGATTTAAAGAATAGTTTCTCTCTGTATTCATTCAGGCAAAGAAGATTATGCAACTGTTGGTAAAAATGACTAATGCAAACTATGTTTATGCCTAGCATTTGATCGTAAAACTTGCTGAATACAGAAAATCGTTCATGGTAGTGTATTTCAAAGAGATCAGAACAATATAACAAATCTGAAAACTATAAACAGAATTGTCTTGAATATTTTTCATTATCATAAAATTTTTCTATGAGTTTGGTAAAATGACCAGGTTTATTGATCTTCCAATGTAAAGAAACTATGCAGCATTGATCGTAACAATCGTTTTAAGGTTTGTAACTCAAATAAATTTCGATTTTATATACTCTGCTGAATAAGAAAAGAGATGCAACAATTAACGTACTGTGTTATTCAATCCCTCCAATTTTTTATTATTTGTTGTAGCATAAAAAAAAACTTTTAATTGATTTTTTATCTAGAGACTTATTCTTTGATTCGTGATACTTAGTTCGACAAAACTTGACAAATAAGAATAGAATTTTGAAAGTTAAGAAACCGATATACATACTGAGTTCTGATTTATTCGCGAGTTCAAACTGAAGTGTTCGAAGTCGATGAAAATGCTGCACAATCAGAAAAATTTCTTGAAGAGATGCTGCTTCATAAATCCATAGGTCTTCTACTTGTTGCATATATTTCCAGTTGCATGACATGTTTTTTCCGATAGCTCCTGGTAAAATGATCGAACGTAAACCGCAAGGAATGGTATAAATTAATACACGGTGGCGTATTTCGTCCAGTAAACCGATGCTCAGTGGTCGAGTTGCTTCTAATGTAAACAGTGTATATGCTTTAAGGTTTTGTTCAGCTAAGTAGTAGCGAATAAACAAATGAATCTCTTTGAGTGGTGAACGTAGGACGACCATAAGATTACTTCCGTTGATTAAATGTTTATCGGATGTACGAAGATCGAGTGTTAACTTTTGTAAAATGGGCATTCGATCTAATAAATCGAAGAGTTCATCAAATGTCCAAAAGAGATTAATCGAATGTAACTTAAAATCAATGAGATGAATAAGCGATGGTAGATTGGCCAACTCTTGTTTGGTTACTGGACTATCTGAAATCTCATTAAGATGCACATGTAGCCAACGTATATTTGGGATCCATGTTAAGAAACGAAACAACATTTGACGTTGAGTTACATTGATTTTTAGCTCTATAATATTCGAGAATAAGGCCGGTTTGTTTTCTTCAGATATATTTAGATAAATCGAGTCCTGATCGAATGATATCGATGTAAGTTGACCGTTATTAGCAGCAAGAACTTTCGTTAGTAACGTATCTTGAGCTTTACCCTTAAGAAATCGAATGTCAAGTTCGATAAGTTGTGACAAATTTTGAAGAGTATCAACGAATGACCAAAGTCTTTCACCGGTGAACCATTTAAGTGTGAGTTTTTGAAGTTGTGGAAACATGAATGATATGGGTTTGGCGAACAGAACACCAAATGCTCTATGCGATATTATTGTTTCCCAATTACCATTGAGCATCAAAGATCTAGCAAACATACTAATTTCTGGTAAAATATGACAGATAACATAATCGAATTTCCGATACACGTATGGCATCAAATATAAATGATGATAATAGTCTGCAATCGTTTTATTGAGACGAATATTCAAATTAAAAAAAGCATAGAGAACATCTCCTCCACAAAGATAACGACATATGCTTAGTATCAGTTCGTCGGGCAAAATCTCGAAACACGAAGATACATCAGCCATCTAAAACAAGTATTTGACATGTATCAAGCATAAAACAGTTTTCCAAGAAATAATGAGTTTGATTCGGTACAAATGCACCTACTATTATGGTTATATACGCAAATTTCTAGTCTCATTCACATGAAAAGTATGCTTTGTCATATACTACTAGCGTTAGGTTATTGTTGAATGTAGGCCGACTGATTAGCAACGCAAGAGGAAGTAAAAGTATGTATTTATGAAAGCAATGCATCATGAACTATTCAAACATAACCTCATTGGAGTACTTCACCACCTCCTAACAATCTATCATAGTTGTCGCCTCACACCAAGCAAAAATCGCTGCGATGTCGGCTATTCGAATTGACTCACACTATTCTCGAATGAAATATATTTCAAGCTACGCTCACCTCTTTCTATCTCGAAAAGTCTATTATGAGCTCATCATATGAGGAATGAGCAAGGACAAGTCTCATATGTCTTCACCAATCATAGAAAACTTCTAGACTAAGTGAACATATAAGTGTAGAATCAAACGGTTCTAAGCAACGGCATATTTCAAACAAAAGTTTACGAGACGTTACAATTGCTACAACAGTTTTTTCTTTCCTTAGGAAAACTTTTGAAAATATATATTACTATGATAAAGAGTGATAACCATTTATGATTGTCATTGTTTATGGAGAGAAGAAGCACATCGAAATCCTCCAAGCTATTATCTGAACCAAAGCGAATTCGATTAGGCAGCCAAAATAGTATATATATTTTTACAATTTCATGCTATACAACATCTTTAATCAAGCTTAGAACCAGCCGAGCTTTTGTCAACTAGATGGAATATGAATGTCATTTTGTTTACGCCAACATTTTTTATCCAATAAAAAGTCGCAAAATCGAATGAAAATTTTCTTGTGGAATATTCATGAATATCTAAATCAGATCTATGCTAAATGCCAAGAAACATAAGTGAACAGACAACTTTTTGCAATGATATAATCTAAAGATGGTATGATCATGAATATTCTTCCTAATTTCTTATTTACAAAAGCAGTTGTCGGGTTTACTTGGTAACAGCCATTGAAGAATTCTCAAAGACAACAATGAGTCACAATGTTATTTCTTTTGCTTCTTGGCTCACACTTTTTAACCAGGCACCTCTTTATCAACAGACGTAAGGTGCAACCAACATTGTTATCTATCAATTCGCATTTCTTTGTTGACAGAAACAATGGTAATTTGGACTCTATTTTTTCTTCTACTAGTGTGTTCATCACAAGATATTTCAGCCAATCGATCAGTTATTGTCCATACAAAATATGGTGATGTGTTAGGATACGAAACAGATTTCGGTCGTATATTCTATGGTATTCCATTTGCTCAGCCACCAATTGGTCCTCTGAGGTAACTAAATAACTTTACATTTCTCATCATGATCAAGGGTTTAGATGGAGTCGTCCAATGCCTATTCGTAAATGGGCTCCATCAACAATTAATGCAACTGAAATCCCACCTGCCTGTCCTCAACCTGCATGTGATGTTCACGATATTCTGTGTCCTAAAACTGTGAGTATCCATATATGTTTTATAGAGTTCGTCGTAAATTTAGTATATTTAGACATCGGAAGATTGCCTTTACTTGAATGTCTTTACCCCAATACAAAACACATCATCATTACTTCCCGTGATGATTTTTATTCCTGGTGGCAACTTTCAATTTCTTGATGCATCATTAGTGATCTATGAAGCAGATCGTTTTGTTAACACGACTAATGTTGTCTGTGTATTTATTCAATACCGATTAGGTAAGAATAGTCGTTTCAGTAATAGAGTGCACATCTCCTTTTGATACATAATTAGGTGTGCTTGGCTTTCTTGCAACTGGCACTGGCCCGAATGATCTCAAAGGCAACTATGGTATATTGGATCAGCGTCTGGCGATCGCTTGGATCAAATCGAACATAGATGCATTTGGAGGAGATCCAAATCAAGTGAAGTCAAATCGATATATACATGACCAAGATTATGAGTTTCATCATTTAGATCACACTGTTTGGTCAAAGTGCAGGGGCTCAATCAACAGCACTACACTATCTCACAAGCGATATGCAATCATTTTTTCAGGCTGCTATAATAGAAAGTTCTCCTATGTCGGTTCCATTCAGGTAAAACGATGAAATTGATTATAGACATAGGTTTCTTATTTATCGGACTACTAGAACATACGCAGAATATATTACACCCACAGTTCTTCTTGCTGAAAAACTTAATTGTACTATTGGTGATCTCGCATGTTTTCGAACAGCTTCATATCAAGATATTGTTATAGCTCAAACGGCAGTTAATAGTATGGTTACATCGTTGAAAGCTCTACTCTTTTTTGAGCCGTGGCTTCCTGTTATTGACAACATACTTGTGCACGGTCAACTTCTTGAAATGGTTTCCAATGTATCTTTTACATTGAAACCACTGATCATCGGTACCTTGACCGAAGAAGCTTTAGGATTTATCTATGACATATGGTCTACACCAGTATCGCCTAGGCTGTATGCAGAAGTTGGAATTGCCATATTCGGTACTAAGTTTTTGAAAATTATTGAACGTTTTCCACCAGAAGGACCTGGCGATCAACGTTCACTCCTGGCTCGACTTGCTACTCAATGGATATTTGCTTGTCCAACACGTGTTTTTGCTCGTAAAGCAGCGACCTATTCGTATGTGTTTGGATATCCACTTCAGACGAATGGTACAATAAATTCATCTGGATGTGACGGTCATACGTGTCACGGCGATGAATTAGTGTTCCTATTTGAATCATTCTGGGTTAATTTAACTGATGCTGATCGATACATGTCTCAAACATTAGCTACTTATTGGACAAACTACGCTAAGAGTAAAGATCTAAATCAGCCAGTGCAAGCTTCTTTGAGATGGCCCAAATTCGTTCGTGGATTTGAGCAATATCTGTACTTTCAAGACCCACTTCAAATTCAAGAAAAATATCTACAGGGCGATTGTGACTTTTGGGACACAATTGGCTATAAAAAAAGTTGGGATTGACTTTTGATAATTTAATAAAAACCTCATGATCAATAAATAGTATGCATCAGATATTAGACGAAAATCAAATTACATAGAACGCTCTCGATTTATAATTGTCTTTACTTTGAATACCATTGTTGGTGTGCAGCTATCCGAAAGGTCATATAATAGTCTTTTTAAAAAAAATACTACAATCAATCCAAACCTATTTCAAGTACATTGTTAGAAGCCGTATTCAGATGATATGCTCAACTGAAATAATGTATTGGTCGACTACTTCAAAAAACAGATTTAAGCCATGATACGATAAGATTTCCCTAAAGTTTGGCAAGGGTACGGATATCATCATGAAGATAAGATTTTTTCTCCTCATCCACACCAATATATCTAACAAATGCTGTTCAAGAAAAAAAAAACACAGTAGTCATCTTTATTTTGAGTGCAATCTATTCTATTACGTCTATGAACACTGAAAATAGCAACAAGAAAAATAAAAGTAACCAAACCAAAGATAAGACGGGAGAAGAGAAAACTAAATTCTTTTACGAAACGTGAATAGCAAAAGTTATCTGATAAAATATATTACAAATGAAAGGATTAGAGAGTATTGTTAGAATCTTTAAGGGATTAACGAAACAGTCCAATTTTGTTTCTCAGTTGGAATTATCTTCGATGCACTGAAACCAATGGATAAGAATTAACTCGTCCATGTATCAGTGCAAGGTTTATCTTCACTCATATTCAAATTGAAACCTTGAAGATGGATCCTCTACTGGTCTTCTTCTACAGCATCGTTTTTAGTTTTTTCATTTTAACATCAGTTTTGATGTTTCTAAGAGCTTTTCACACATAATGCACCGTTTTTGTTTAATAACCAACTCTGAAAGAGCGCTTTTCCGTTCAATACGAAAATCTGTATGCAGCACAATCAATTAGAACAGTAGCGCAAACGGATATGCGAATCGGGGAGGTAATATCGACTCTGATGTTAATTATAGTTAAGTGGCAATCTTTCCTAATCCGACTTCGAAGTATCTCTGCAAGATTATTAACTACAGTATACCCACGATTTTGATCTTACTGCACTCGCTTTGGTTTCCTTTGAAGTTGATGCGAATGATCGGAATATTCTTCATGAGATTTTTATACGGCTCAGTTTTGGCTTTTATTTTTCTTGGTAGTGGATGAGAGTAATATGCTTTTTCATGAGTTAACGTGATACAATTGATTGAATTTGTCAGGACGACTCTGAATCTTGACTGTGTTTTGCCGAAGTTCTCCGATTTTAATCTTCTAATGAAAGTCATTCTTGATATTGGTTATTGCATTTGTGAGTCCACATCAATCGAAAAATAATATAGTAACCACTTCATTGACTTTCGTAATCAACACGTTACGCTTGACTTCAGACATCAGTCAGAAGAACACTCGTTCGTCTTTGGCAGTTAGTAATTTGTTTCAAATGGAACAAAGTGACATGGATTTATCTCAAAGCTGAGTGTATGTGACTATGATCTGAGAATGGAAGGAAGTCGCACACTCACTTCTCAGACTAGTATGATGTGTTCGCGCTCTGTTAGATTCTTTTTTCCTTTTATCCTCTTGTTGTTACTGTGATTCGTTGTTACGTTAAACTTTGCTGAGGGTTTGTGTAGCTTAAGAGATAAAATCGAAAGTTCACACCGTTGAAACGTCTAGTGAAAACAATTTTTGGTTAAAAAACAATTTTATGGTTGATTTCCCTACTGATGTAAGTGGTCATTTAAATGACCCAATGAGTTTTCTGAATTCACTATTTATAATGCTTGCGAAAGTAATTGGAAAGCTAATTCAAAGAGCGGATATGGAAGGGGGGTATTGATCTATTATATGCATCCACACCCTACACCCACACCTACTCTTAACATAGAATGTTTCAAAGAAAGTTAATATATTATTTGACGTGACCATTCGGTTTATTACTCGATACAAAAAAATTTATTCAGTCTGTTTACTTCGTTGCATTTACTTCTTTACTTCGAAAAGTCCGATAAGATCCAAGTAACAGAATGAATCCGCATCTACTCACTGTATTCTCCGTGCGTGAAAAAATGCTTTTACTTTGATAAAGTTTCATTTTATTGTTCAAGGTACATTCTATGTTCTTTTAAACGCTGAGAAATACTGAATAGATCCTGTCTCAATAGCTCATTCTTTATTTTTTTTGAAAAAAAAATTTCCTTAGATTCTCGAGTGGAAGGGCTGAGCTCCCATGGTCATATCCTATAGTTACGTCACTATTTACGACGTGAATCGAATTCGTATTTTTTCTATAAACATGCATCGATCAGTTAGCTAGTTCGATTTCAATGGGATACGCCATTTCTTCTGTGTGAACTCGAGCATTGCACGATCGATATGAAATAAAATGGATTATCTGTTTCGATTAGGCAATGCAATACTCAAAACAAACAATTAACTAATCATCATTTGTCTCTACTGAAAGTTATGATGGCTACCAAAGGTGAACACATTATTGACCATTTTGTGCTCTTTCAAAACATTCGAGTTTCTATTCTTAAGGTCCATTCGATTGAAACACACACACTTTCAACGATTGAAATATACAGAGAACCGTATGAACATTGATTCTGCCCGTGGCTACGTCAGTGATCATATTATCTGATTGTCTTTAAAAATGGATCGATTTTTATTTTTCATCTAAATATAAAAGCGCTGATTATTTAGCGGTATCATGTTACTCGTTCTATGAGCATGAAGCATTAAGGTAAATCATTTGATGTAAGTGTGAATCAAAATTCTTGCCAACACGAATGGTCTTGCTTGGGTTCAATGCGAAACTGAGACACAACTCTGGCTGAATTGTGCCATGCAAGTCGATCGAATCGAACATGTTGATAGTAGATGAAGATGAAAAGCTGAAGGTATAGTATGGCGTTAGATACCAATAGACAGTGTTAAATCTAACGGAAGCATTTTTAAGTGTACGAATCTTCAGAACAGAAATAGGACCAATAGCGTCAAGAATAATTTTCTCCGACTGTTGAGAAGATCCAGCTCCTACAAGCACTTGTGTTGCTTGTGAGCACTTACTTAAGATTTCTAAAAGTTTGGCTTCAGATAGTCGCTCTCAATAGTAATCCGTAAGGTGAATGAGATTCCAGCCAGCTCCAACTGTATAATATTGCAAAATTTCGCTGGACTGTTCGATGACCTAAGGTGATGACAGAATATTGCAAGAAGAATTGCTTCTCTCTCTAGCAGTTCACTCTGTACCTTTCAATCTGTTGCATTATTCGCTGCTATCACGAACAGCAGAATGATACAGAATAAGAAAGCTGTAATGATGGTTACTCAATTAAATAGATTCTAATAACAGTCTCATGTTTGAACTCGTATCTATATATATAATTCGGCTGTCGTTTTATGAGATTTATTTCTGTTGTAATTTAGGTGGATCAGATGTGAATATAGATACTGAAATTTGATCGTCTATGCACGTATACGTTTCTAAAATGAAATATCTGGCTCATTCAGACAGAGACCTTTTTGTGCATATTTTTCAAGCTGAAACGATGGACCTACTCAAATGCTATCAATTTGTTTTTCGTAATTACAGAAGGCACAATAGTCTATAAAAAATATATTTATCCTCAATGTTCCTTCGAGATAAAAGCAGCAGACGATGCAAGAAATTATTAATTCACTATCAAAAAAGTATCTTCAATACTTTGCCTTCGTTTGGCCTTCATCCAATCTCTTTTTTCAGATATAATTGAGTCAACAAAGTGTTCATAGAGTCTCAATTTGCATTAAGCGTGAGAATATTGAAAAACATGATCAACATATATGTCTTTGAGAAAGATAACAATGATCTTTGATTGAAAGTTCTTTTGGCAGCAGGACAGAAAGAAAAGTAAATTAACTATCATTATCAAGTTTCATCGTTGTAATTATACAAGTAACCAAAGTAAGCCTTTATCATTGTTAGAAAAATTACATTAGACGGTCAACATTATAATTATATGTGAAAATTATGAATTAATTGATATTAAAATAATATTAAAAATTAAAAACAGAGGTAAAATTATTGATTCTATGAAATTACATTGAGAATTACAATTGAAATAGAAGAATTAGAGATTGATGACTGTGCAAAATTACAATTAAAATTAGATTAAAAACTAGATATTATTAAATTAATATTAAAATTTAGAAAGTATGAGAGTGGAGTGAGGGTATGAAGGTGAGTTGTAGTCTTCTCTTCAACTACACCCATACCCAACTATGCGTCCTCAGCAGCCTAGAAATGACCCAGTCAGCGTCGATTGTTCTTTGCTAGAATAAATTCATAATTTGCACGATCATATACATCATGTTGAAATGCACTTCGATTCCTTCGTTGACACATTAAAAAAACGGAAAATCATGCAGAAGATACACAGGCTAATAAATAAGAACATTAAATATCTGTATTATACCTTTTTGTGCACATTAATCGAAATAATTATTTCAAATTCTCTGATTAGGAGTGTAACAATAGCAAAACAATAATAGTCGAAGTCGATTGTATTGACCTATAACAAAACCAATAATGCCAATACCGACATGGTATCAGTATTAGTATCAATACTGATACTGATACAAATATCAATTAATATCAAATGGTATCGGTATTATTGCATTCCCATCTATTGTTGTACTAATAGTGTTAATCTGCCTCATTAAAATCTTATTAAGCAAACAATCAAAATATCTATATTGAAATCTGATATTTAAGGGGAAAACAGAGTAAAAAACTTCAAAGGAATATAGCTGCTGAAATGCTGGTACCAAATAAATTGTAATATGCTTTTAATATTTGAATAATATTCCTCTCACTTTCTATAAAGAAACTTGTTCAATCAGCTTAATAAAAATGTATAATGTTGTCCTAACGGTAATTTATTAAAATGAATATTTCTCACAGGTATTGATGAGTTATATTAGATCAGTCGTATTTTGAATGAGCAAAATAT